TCTTTGTGTTGGTGGCGTGTGTGATAGGTGCACGAGCTGCATAGCATCATCATTTTTTTTATTTTTACATCGTTCCAAAATGTTGCATTTAAAAATCACACAATCAGAAAACAATTTTTCCCGACTTCCATCTCTCTATCTATTTGTCTTCAAGCCTAGTCTTGTCCTAAATGCTATATATAATAAACACACACGCACACATACATAGAGGGGGGGAGAGAGAGAGAGAGAGAGAGAGAGCGAGCGAGCGAGCGAGCTACCTTGTAAAGCATGGTCAGCTTGCGACTTGATGAGTCGATGTGTGCACTGACATGATAATTCGCTACACCTATAGTTGGTGGCGTGTGTGATAGGTGCACGAGCTGCATAGCATCATCATTTTTTTTATTTTTACATCGTTCCAAAATGTTGCATTTAAAAATCACACAATCAGAAAACAATTTTTCCCGACTTCCATCTCTCTATCTATTTGTCTTCAAGCCTAGTCTTGTCCTAAATGCTATATATAATAAACACACACGCACACATACATAGAGGGGGGGAGAGAGAGAGAGAGAGCGAGCTACCTTGTAAAGCATGGTCAGCTTGCGACTTGATGAGTCGATGTGTGCACTGACATGATAATTCGCTACACCTATAATATTCTTTGAAGAATGCTCACAACTGCCATTTTCATGAGCTAATGCAGTCAGCTCATGAAAATGAGTTGCAAACAATGTTGGCGCTTTAATCACTTCAACAATGTACTCACAAATGGCCCAAGCTAGGCCTGACAATAGTAGTTCAGGCAAAAATTTTAGCCAAGATGAGTATAAAGTCCAACAAAATCTATAATAAAAGTTCAGCAGCACCATTAAAAAATAAAATAAAATTAGTATGATGTGTTTTTGAATGTGCTTTTACAATGCAACTTTAAAAAAAAAAAAAAACACATAATAAAAGAAAAACTCTTAATATTCTTCCCCAACCCTCTGCAGCCCTCCTCCCCCCAACACCACTAACATTGCAATCACCACAACATGAGCCTTCATATTAATTTAGCAAAGGAGGTGGACAGTGTGTCTAAACTGAAATAAAAATGGAAGTTCAGTGACTATAATTTCGGTAACTAAATTGAAGTGCATAAGTCAAGTTTTGTTGTAAAAATGCTTGTGTATATAATTCCTTCCATAAGCACAAAAACAGGAAAAGAGATGTGATTTACTACATCCAAAAACCTTTTCAAACCACCTCAAGAACATTACCTCATAGTGGCCATCATGAAATAGTCAAGCCAATTGAAAAATAAAAATTAAAAGTAAATTTATGGTACTTTACCAAAGGATGTCCTGTAAATAGAACATCTACAAATTAATTA